ACATATTTCAAAGACTGCAAGACCAGGTGGGCTAGCTATGATCCACTGCTACTCTGAGCTCCTGCATAGCACGGGCCAGAGAACCCTGCCCTGTAGTTCTTGGGGTCCTTCCCACAGAGTTTATTTCAATGTGTAAGCCCCTCGGTGGCTCCTACCGGAATCCTCCGACCCTGTTGTCCTGTGGCTGGGATCGTGTCTGGCCACAGAAATTACTACCCTGCTCTGTTGGCTCCTAGGACACTCCCACCCTGAGCCTTCTGCAGCACAAGACTGAAGACCAGTGTGCTCATCTTAAGTACCTTAGCAATGCTACCTCTCTACAAAACCAACTCCACCTTCCCATGAGCCACAGCTCCCTCCACATCCTCCTGCAAACAAACAAGACTTTTTCCACCTGTAGCTATACCCTCCGAGATGACACCTCAGCTTGCCACATGTTGCCATTTGGAAATCTGATGTTTCCTATTCACTTTTTGGGCTATGTCAATACTACCGCAGAAAGTCAACGTAAGTACACAATACCAGATACTAATAATAATAAAAATAAATGAATAATGTATTATTATTATTATTATTGGTTGATTTACTGCAGTGTCCACACCATGCTGGGTCAACAGGAGACACTCTCCCATTGACTCACCTTACTCTTCTGAGGTCGACTGGAGAGCAATCTGCAGTTGATTTGGTGGGTCTTCACTAGACCTGTTAAATCGAGCCCTAGTGTATCAGTCTTCGGAGCGTCAATCCCAGCTGTAGTGGAGACTTAGTCACCATTTCAGCAGTGCAATAGACCTTCTCCCTGCTAGTTCCTGGCCTGAAGGACATGTCAGGAACTGGCAAAAGGAAAGGTGACAAAGATCATTTGGGAGGGCAGGCTTCTCCCACATAGCTCCCTTAAAAGCCTAAGTATTAGCCAATTCTTGCTTGGCTGCTGATGGTGAACTGGATAAAGTTAAAGCGTATAGCAGGTTGCAGAAACCAGCTTTTATCTGTAACTTGTAAACACATGAGGGAGTTCCTATGTATTATACTAAGAAAAATAAACAACAACATTTAAGAAATTAATTCAACATAAGTCACCATCCTCACCCTGAGCTCATTGCAAGTTAGCACCTGGTCTCTGTCTGAGCCAGTTTAACTAAGCATGGCAGTTGTTTAACAGCATAGAGCAATATTACATGAGAGTCGAGAGAGGGATTATACAGTATCTTAGTTGAAACTCTGAGAATGCTAAGAGAACATCATTGCCTTCGTAATAAGAGCTGTGGGAACTTTAGCAAAAGCCTTGATTTTGCATCTTCTCCTACAGAAGACCTCTATCTCCATAGGGCACTAGTTCAGAATGGATTCACAAGGAAGAGTTCTACCTACAGAAGCATCACCACTCTAGGGGCAGCATCCAGATTTTCATGTGCGCGCTGTCTCCCGGCCAACTAATAACCAGGGCAGAGGTTACTAAGTTTCTAAAAGCAGACGAGAACATTGCCAGAGGTAGTATAGCTTCAGGCCTTTCCCCTGCTAACTGCTGGCTATAGCCAGAAAATATGTTTACTACCTGGTAGAAAACAAAGGAATTTCAAAGAGAACACACCCCAGAACCAAATTCTGCCCTGGGTTATACTCTTTCAAGTTAAATGAAATCCCATCAAGATCACTGACAGCAGAACCTGGCTTGTTAGCATACGTGAAGCTGAACGCTAAGTGATAAATGAATTTACCATGAACCTTTGAATACCGCATCTGGCCTCTGCCCACCAATCCATCTCTCTAGGACTTAACCTAACAGAATCACATCTGAATTTAGCTGGGGTTTTGGCTCTCCGTCAAATAATGTACACATGACAGGACTGCTGTGAAGGAGTGGCTAATGGAGAGATCAACACTGAAATGTGAGTCTAGCTGAGCAGTTTGCTTGTTGAACCCATTCACTGGGTAAAAAATGAAAGCCACTAACTTCTGCATTCTCTCGCTTATGGGTGCTTTGCTAGGTCTTAATGAATAACATTGGAACTTTACATACAGCTAACATTTTGTTTGACAACAGTCAAGATCACAGTACTACAGGCAATATCTAATTGTTCAATAAGCTGGTACTGAGAACCAGATTTCCCCAAGCAAAGCATTTGATTCTCTTCCCCACCCCCGTCACCGGCAATCACTGGCATGAAAAGATTAATGGACAGAAATATGGTGTTTTGAGAAATTTATGCCTTCATAACACTTAGTTAGACTTATCACCATTGCACTGAGGGCACAAGGAGGCCCAAAGAAACACAAGAACATGTTCAAAAGGATTTTTTTCAATTTAAAACGGGAAAATCTCTTTTGCTTCATGTAAAGGATAGGCGCTATTACTTTAAGATTTAAGGGTATGGATGTCTTTGTTCTTTGCAAGCTGCTGTGATTTACAAGTTGGTGAAAAAAAGGTAATAAAGATTTATAATAGGAC